TTCCACATGCTTTGGAGCAAATAAGCCTGGTGTGTAACTTAGTCTTACACTAAGTTGTGTAACACAGCTACTGAGTCTGTGCTTTGGAGCCCATGCTCCCCAACAAGAGAAACCTCCAAAGTGAGAAGCCTGCACCCTGCATCTAAGAGAGGAGGCCCCGCTCACTACAGTTAGAGGAAGCTCTTGCAGCAACAAAGAACCATCACAGCCAAAATTAAATAAACAAACAATGCAGGTTTCAATTCAGTGGGTCTCAGTGGCCTGAGATTCTGCACAAGACACAAAGAAAAAAATTAATAGATGGATCTCATCAAAATGAAAAAGTTTCTCCCTGCAAAAGCACCCGTGGTTAGGCTGAAGACAAGCTACCCTGACAGGAACTGCAAACCACCAGCTCTGTCTCCAGAGTGTATCTATCTACAAGGAACTAACGAGACCAAGCAAGCCAATCAGAAAGCAGGCAAAGGCAAGACCGGGCTGCTCCCTGGGAGGATGTGCAGATGGCAGACATGCTCGTGGAAAGACAGTCATAGCTGTCTGTGATGCAGACGCAGACTGCAGCCACGGTGAAGTGTCAGCGCACACCTGTCAGAACAGCTCAGATACCAAGCCATGGTTGTGCAAATGCTGCCACGGAGACCCAGGGCCATGCACACCTGGCTGGTGGGATGTAAACACTGCAGACTTTCTGGGAAAAAAGAGTGCAGGGTCTTGTGAACTGAAACACACATTCGCTGTATGACTCAGCAATGGCATTTATCCCAGAGAAGCGAAAACTGAAAACCGTGTTCTCGCAAAAACCTGTGCATCATAGTAGATGCCCTCAAATAGCCACAAGCTGGAAATCCTCGAAGGGTGGACGGTTAAAACCAAAAAACTAGAGGAGTAGCGGGTGGGGGTCATCCATTCCACAGAATGCTACTCAGTGATAAAAAAGAACGAGCTGTCCAGACACTGAACAACTTGGACAGATCTTGAGAGCACTGCACTTACTGAAAAAAGCCAGCCAAAAAGAAGGGGGCATATTGTATGACTCCGCCTAAACAGCATTGTCAAAATGACGAATTACAGAAAATGGGGAACAGAGCAGTGGCTGTGAAGGGCATAGGGTGGAGGAAGGGGAAGTTGGCTGTGGCCACAACGGGCAGCCTGTAGACCTTGTGATGGAACTGTCCCACCTGCGTGGGTGGTCACGCGATGATCCACGTGCAATAAAATTACACAGAACTACACACTGGCGCATGGGAGCACGTCACCTGTGAAATCTGACATCTCAGCCCCTCCGATCAGTCGCACCAACGTTTATTTCCTGGTCACGATGTCCTCTATAGTTTTGCAAGACGTTATGAAGCATATGTGGAGCTCTATTATTTCTCACAGTTGCATATGAATATACAATGATCTCAAAATACAAGGTTTTTAAAAGTGCTTCCAGGGGACTTTGCTGGTAGTCCAGTGGCTGAGACTCTGCACTCTCAATGCAGGGGGCCTGGGTTCGATCCCTGATCGAGACACTAGATCCCACATGCCACAGCTAAAAGTCCTGCCGGCTGCAACTAAGACTCAGCACAGCCAAATAAAAAAATAGATATATATATATATTTTAAAAAATTGCTTCTGGGTGTAACCTTTGTGTGTGCCCTGTGCACTGAGCCCAGGTTCTCCCTAGGGGGTGCACTCAGAACCACGATCACCGGGTCACAGGGAACATCTGTCTTGAGCCTTTCTGGGTTCTTGTCTAAAGTGTCTGTTTTTATTTATACTTCTACTCACAATCAGCGAGTTCTCAGTTCTTCTTATCTTCCTCAATACTTGGCATAGACGGTAAGATCTTCACAAATGGTTATGAAAAGTTATCCCACTGATATGATTTCTGCTTCTGAGAACTGGCGGGTTAAACATCCCTTCCCATTTTCCTAGCCCCCCTGGGCTTTCTCTTCTGGGCCAGCCTGCTCAGTTACTTCTCCTCTTGGGTGGTTTGTTTTACGTTGCTGAGTCTTAGAATGTTTGGTACATTCCAGATACTTCACCAGTCTGTCTATCCTCACTCTCCAGGCATCCATCTTTTTTATTATTATTATAATGGAGCCTCACACTAGTGATGCTCAGAGTTCCGATCCATATTTATGAATTTTTAATAGTTATTGACTCTCAGACACTGCTGAAAGCTTCATAATATGCACTGCTGGTTATCCACGCCTTGCTGTGAGGTGAGGGGGGCTCTTTCCCCAAGGGCGGCCTCAGCTCACACCCGAGAGCGCCAGCCTGCGGCCTGCAGGTCTCTGGCCCCAGTTCCTCACATTAAGTCATGCATGTGTGTCTCTGCTGGTTCTGTTTCTGGGGCTAAAGCCTAGGGCCACGCGTTTAGGGACATTTGCACTGCGCTCACTGAGCATCCATGGCGTGAGAGCAGCAGGGTCTCCCTGTGTATAACTGTGGCTGTTGCTCAGTCGCTCAGTCATGTCCAACTCTTTGCGACCCCACGGACTGCAGCAGGCCAGGCTTCCCTGTCCTTCACCATCTCCTGAAGCTTACTCAAACTCCTGTCCATTAAGTCAATGATTCCATCCAGCCATCTCATCCTCTATTGTTCCCTTCTCCTCCTACCCTCAGTCTTTCCCAGCATCAGGGTCTTTTCCAATGAGTCATTTCTTCTCATCAGGTGACCAAAATACTGGCGCTTCAGCATCATTACAATTACTGTTGGTTAAATTACTGTACACTTACTGTTGATTAAACCCACCTCCTGGGGCCCCAAGCTCAGGCTGACTTAAGCTCCCTTGGGTGGCTCTAAAGGACCAGTGAAGTGATTCACTGCTTAGGGACGACTTACGGAAAGCCATGCTGCGGCATTAGAGAACTGTCTTTCCCTCTTTATTGACAACTTTACTGAGGAAGTTAGGGAGAAGGTGACTAACAGAGATGGGACAGCAGCCGTCCAGTCCCACCATCTGAAGAGGAAGCACGCTTTGCTGGGTGTAGCCACTCCTCAGAGGTGGAACTTTAAAGACAGAGAAGAGGCAGGCAGCTTGGTGGGTGTTGCAAGGTGCCCTCTTAGCCCTGCAGGGCTGCAACCGGGGCTGGTGGCAGATTTCTGGAGCTGAGTCCTGGGCGCCCCCGGGTGTCTCTGTGCCTTGGTTTCCTAGTCAGTGAAAATGAGGGCATCGCAGGGTATCACACCTGTTAATGCAATGACATGTGGCTCTCAGAAGGCAGCCTGGCCACTGGGAAGTGGTCAGAAACTCTACCTGGATACCTGGGGAGAAAAGGCCCAGGGACAGATGCTGATCCAGTGTCAGATTTTTAAAGACTCGAGAGAGAAACTAAAAGTCAAACAACATAACCTCCCATTAACGTTTAAAAATTCAGGAGGAAAAAGAAAAATCACCAGAAAGCTTGGCCTCTGCCCTTTTCCATGTTCACAGATGCCTTTCCTCAGGGCATGTGGCCAGAGCCATTCCTGACCCAAACCGGGCCAGAGAGATTCAACACCAAATCACAGCACAAGTGACTCAAAGTGTTCTTGTCTTTAGGCAGAAATGGGATACTTTGGAAAGTTTTTAAAGTGCATTTGAACCAAATAGCTTTTGTTTAACCCTGAGTTAGTAAAGGTAGTCATTTCAGAACAGTTAAACCATTGGAGCTATTAGCCACCATTTTACATAATATTTAACTGGATTCCCTCCTTTCAGGTTTTGGTTTATCCTATTTGGGAAAAAAAAAAAAAAAGATAGGAGGACTGATGGCCACCCCCCTGAACTGGGAGAAACACTGCTGTGAGGCTGCGTCCCTGTGCTGACCATCCCTTCCTGAAGGGCTGCTCAGCCCTGGCTCCGGCTGGGTCCGCACCCCACTCAGCTCCCCACGACCACGAAGGCCCCCAGCACTCTGCAGCGGCTCCGCCAGGGAGCAGGGGGCAGGACTGAGCCTGACTCGGGGTGTCCCAGACTCCTGGGCTACAGTCTGCAAACCGTTCCCTGAGCTGGGGGTCTTGTCCGAAAGCCACAGGTCTTAACTTGGACACACCCTAAAGCACCCTTCCTCTGAGAATCTCTCCAGGCCAGGTGTGGAGTCCCTGTCAGAACAACCAGCGCCCCTGAGCCGGGTCTGCGTCTCCCCAGACACACTCCAGCCCTGGCCGCAGAGGTTAACTGAACTCACGGTGCAGATTCTCACCCTGCTGCGACTGGAAAAGGGAGAACCAGTAACCCAAAGGCGCTTGTTTCCTGCCAGAGACCTACTGAGATCCCCAGAGAATCTCTAAGGCTTCTCCAAGCCCCCCTCTGCCTTCCTAAAGGAGAGGAGAAAGGAGACCCTGGGAGAAAAGAGACAGTGCCCCCAGCAGCCCAGAGGACCTAGAACCACCGGTGCCCGGGAATCGTGCAGAGCACGCGGCACCCCCAGGAAGCCCGGCCCGTCTCCGGGCCGAGGGGCTTCACACCCGGGCGCCAGGCGCGCAGGTGGGCGCGGGCGGCTGGCGGGGCCGGGCCGGGCCTCCGGAAGGCGGAAGCCCGGAGAGTCGCCTGTCGCCGCCTTCGGCACTCAAAGGGAAACTGGTTTTCGCCCGGGCTGGGGGAGGGGGCAGGCAGGAGTCGGCGGTAAGCTCCAGACGTATCCTTACGGAGCACGTTAAGCGGCGGGGATCCCGGCCTGCCCTAAAGCTCGCCCCCGCAGCGGTCCCGCACCGCCCAGGGTGGCTTCCTTGACCTTTGCCACCTCCCACCCCAAACTCCACCCCGAGCGCCTCCCACGCTCTGCCCGCGACCCCGGCCCCGGCCCGGCCTTGCCCACACCTGGACACCCGTCGGGGACAGCCCCGCCGCTCTGGATCGGCGTCTACACTCGCGTCCACCCCTCACACAGTGGCCGCCGGGGTGCCACCTGCCGCCACCTGCGCGGCCGCCCCGGGGGAGCCCCGCGCCCCGTCTCCGCGTCCCCGCTCCGATGGCGCAGACAAAGCCACCCCGCCCCCCCACCCCACCCCCGGCGAGGTCACCCACCGCGCGGCGATCCTCTCTCCAAGGCCGAGGGCGCCGCGGGGTCCCGGCCGCCTCCCGCCGCCCGGGCCCCAAGCGCGCGGGGTCCCGGAGCGCCGGCGCCGCCTTCGGGGTCGGGGCCGCGGGTCGCCGGGGCCGCAGGCTCGTCCTTGCTGGCGCGGCGGCGCAGTCTGGCGGCTGCTCCGAGGGCCGGGCGCGCCCGCCGCTCCTCCCCCGCCTCCCGGGCTTCCTGCGAGCCAGGTAAACACGGCCGACGTGAGCCGGGCCGCCCACCTGCCGCCCGCGCGCCGACCACCTCCCGGCGGCTCCGCCTCGCGGGCTCCAGGGGCACGCGGGCCCCGCGCGGGGATGCCCTGGGCGGCGCGGACTCCGGCCCGGGCTGAACTGCGGCTCTAGAGCCTCCGCTCGCGGCTGAGTCTCGAACCACCCCGCCCGAGCGCGGGGAGGGACCTGCGATAGCATCTGCTCCACGCCCCTTTCCGCGGGCGGCGAGGGGCCGAGCGCGGCCGCCCGGCCGACTCTGCTGCCCCGGCTGACTCTGCTGCTTGGGGTTCAGGGCCGCCGCAAGACTGGCCCCTTGAGAACTCCCGGGGGTCCTCGTGCACCCAGCCTACAGACAGGTGCTCGGCCGGAGAGAGGCGCCACAGTGGGAGGGGGCGCCCTGGGGTCTGCGGCCTGAGCATCTGTTGGCTTGTGGTCAGTGTCATCCTCTTGGTCCGAAGGAAGACTGTCCTTTGGACATCAGTCACCTGCACATAGTCAGATGGCCCTTCCCCCCGGATTCTCCACCTCCTGATGGTGGAAAAGTAGGAGGCGTGTGGAGAGACGCTGGCGGAGATGCTGGAGTCCTCACGACTTAGCTTCCGGGTCGGGGTCGGATCTGATGCTTCCCGGGACCCGGCGGGGACCCTTCACTGTTCACCTGGGGGAGCGGAAGTCTGACCCCTGGCGAGGCTCATCCCGGGTCTCCTGTGCCGGCTGCACCACTAGGAGAGCCAGCTCCCAGTGTGGCTTCAGGACCACGTGTCCCAGCAGCCCTCACAGACCGAGGGTCTGTGAGCTGCGCTCCAGTGCCGGTGATGTCAACAGGACTGTGTGCACCGTCACAGAAATATTTGCTTCTTTCCTCGGAAAAGATTCGTGTGGGGGTTTCTGGAGTTGGACAGGGGAGGTCAGGAGGACAGCTGAGCAGCGACGCTGGCTGTGCCGAAGAAGTTTGCCTGTTTCCCGGTTTTCCCTGGGGCCTTCCCTCCTTGCAGTAGAGGGTGGCCAGGTGCGGGTAGAGGAGCCGGAGGAATCCAAGGATGCTCAGGGCACTGACTGACCCTGGAAGCTCCCTGACTCCCAGGACCCTGACTCCAGTCACTCTTAACCTCCCCCCCATATGTACTGGGTTCCACGTGGAAGACAGTTTTAGGTGGCTCAGATGGTGAAGAAGCCACCTGCAATGCAGGAGACCCCGGTTCGATCCCTGGGTCTGGAAGATCCCCTTGAGAAGGGAACAGCAACCCATTCCAGTATTCTTTCCTGGAGAATCCCATGGACAGAGAAGCTTGGCTGGGCTACAGTCCATGGGGTTGCAAAGAGTTGGACACGACTGAGTGACTTTCACTTTAGCATCACAAACCACATCTCATCTTCTTCCCCCAGATGTCTTCTTGGGGTGACCAGGAAACAGGAGGACAGCCTTCTGACCTACAGAGGTCAGTGAAGGCTGGACACCGGAGAGTCCAGGCCGCAGGGAAACAGCCATGTTTGCCCTGCTTCCTGCTGTGTAGAAACTTCACAGATGCCAGCGGCCATCTCTGCAAATGGCAGACCTACCAAGTTCCAGTTAAAACTGTCCTTATAGTGTTTATAAAATCCCACCATGCATGTATTTGGGGATGTAATGCCCCCAGATTCATGGGAACTTCGAGGACAGTGTACGTGAGGGAGCAAGGAACAGGATAAAGTGATGAATGGGTGTTTGGAGGGCCCCTGGTGCTGGTGGGAGGAACCAAGGTGAAGGAGGCAGAGGGGGGCTCTTCCCCTTGGGGCTGTGGGGTCACACTTCACATGAAGATGATCCTGCATCTGTGAGCACAGTGACAGAGGTTCATGTTACTCATTTCAATAAAATTGAAATGGGTCTTTTGACAGGTAAAAGATAAACTATCCAAACCTCATTGTCTCTGATATTTCTGAGCAAGTTATATGACCATTCCACCTATCTCCCACTGTTCTTCGTATAATGAGAGGAAGCCGCCTTTACCATTTCATGTTGGAGCAGTGAACACAAAGTTTACTGCATGGTACACACTCAGTACATTCTTATTCAGTCCAGTTAAATCTCCAAATTACCCACACTGAAGGAAATCAGGAAATTAAATAATGTCCAGGAGACCAGACTGCATGAGTTTTTAAAACAATTCCCTTCATCAACAGATCCATCTTTGGAATTATATTTTTGCTTAGGAAAGACCTGGAATCACTTTCATCTCTGGTTTGTAATGAATAGTTGCTGGCGATACCCACAAAATAGATAATCTACTCGTACATATTGAGGCTTGATCGTTCTGCCGTAAATTCCAGTTAATAACCAAACAGGCTCCACTGTAGCTGTGAGTGCCAGAAAATTAGGTGCATGAATTCCACAACGTGCAACATAAAAAGTTATGTAGGCAAGGAAAATATTTGAAAGAGATCTCTTGACTACATGCACACACACACACACAGGCCACCTGTCACTTCACTTTTTATCCAAGAAAAAAAGAAAGGCAAGGAGATTTGTACAACTTTGGTTATGTGGGAAAAAACAAAAAAAAAATCTTTTATGCCTTTTTCTACCATCAATTTGTTGATTTTGTAGTTATACAAAAAGTGTGTGTGTATATATATATATATATGTATACGCATATGTATCTAACATTTTTCTTAATAGCTCCTTAATTTTATTAATAAAAATAAAAGCAAACTGCTTTCCATAAGACCCAGTCAATCTTGAACTACAGAAGGATATTCTGGAATCAGCGTATTTTTGAAGGAAATGTGTACACACACAATAGGTATCATCCTCCCACTCTAATTGCTTCAAGAGTTTCTGTTCTCTGGTGAGATCTCAACCTTGAATGGCGTGTTTCCGACACCCTGTTGAGCTCCTGGGGCTCAAGCGCGCTGACAGAGAGATGCTTTATGAGCTGTGTGTCCGTGTGGCAGGTGTCTTTTCCACACATGGCCCCCAGCCATTGCAAACCCTCCAAACCCACGTTCTCCTTCCACTGTGACTTGGGTGTGTGTCCCTGCCCTTGACCCTGGGGCACCCCTGTGATGTCCCGCCCTAGGAGTACCTGCACCTCTGGGGTGAGGTCCCAGCGATGCTGAGCCCGTGTGCATCCCTCTCCCGAGCCAGCATTCTCGGAGCCCAGCCTCTGTCCTGCAAGGGCGGCCCAGGGACACGCCAGCGCCTTCAGCAGGGAACCAACCTGGGTCCCCTTGGCCTCTGGGTCCCCCTGGCTGAGCCCCCAGGCCTCATAGAGCAGGAAGCAGCCATCCTCCCCATGTGCTCCCCAAACTCCCGACCCCGAATTGGGGAGCACATTGACCCCGTGGCTTTGCTCCACTGGGTTGGGAAGTCGTGGTGCCTCGGTGGTACGTGGAAGACTGGTTAGAATGACAGACGGAAGGCAGGGCCCAGGGGAGATGAGGGGTGAGGGATGGGGGCCACCGGCCAGCCTGCAGCTTACTTCGCCCCTAGGAGCTGAGCACGGGCTCCTTCTCCAGGAAGGCCAGCGTCTCACTGAGCAACACTTATGGATCAAGCATTTCACCCCTTTTACGTTTTCAGGACTATTTACGATGCACTTAAATCAGCTGTGTCCTTAAAGCCAAAGGAGGAGATCAGAGGGGCTGAGCGCCGAGGAGGGCAGCGCCCCCAGAGGTGGGGGTCTGGGGGGCTTTCTGAAGGGAGCGGCCTGATGGCTGTAGGGCTTGGCCTGACAGAGGGGGTGAGGACGGAGGAGCCAGGACGGGGCAGTGTGTGCCGAGCACGCACGTGTGACACGTGTGGCAGGGACAGAGCTGCCCTGAGCCCGAGGGGACAATGCAGATTGCCCCCGGAGCTATTGCGGGTCCAGAAGGGCCTGCGCTGGGGGGCGGGGCAGCGTGGCCGCTGGTCCTGGTGCTGGCATCACCTGCTGCCGGCGACACACAGGGAACTCCTGCCTTAGCCCTGGTCCTCACGACAGCTCTGGGATGAGATCCCGATCCCCGTGGCTCCCAGGGTCTGAGGAGGCCTGAGGCACCAGCTGGAGTGGAGGGGGCAGGGCACTTGACCTGCACCTCTGTTATGACAAATGACTACTTGCCCATCAGGCACTTGGAGGGGTGCCCAGCTGGTGGGCCCCTGATTAATATTTGCTGCCTTTGTTGAAAGGGCTGGAGTCAGAATTCGGAGGTTGCAGACCCCATGTGCTTCCCTCTTTGCTGACTGCAGAGGGCAGGTGGTGCCCATTGGATGGGTAAGGCAGGGAGGGGTGCTGAGGAAGAGGGAGGGGTCCCGGGGACACTCAGGCCTCTGGCAGGGTGGCTGGTGGATGCTGGCCGAGATGAGGGATGGCAGATGATGTGCAGGTCTGATGGAGACAGCAGGGAGGTCAGGCTGCACACAGGGGTCTGGACAGCCCAGATAACAGCCACCTTCTCCAGCCCCCAGGCACAGCCTCTGCCCGCTGCCTCCCCCCACCTCGCCCTCCCTGCTCCAGCTGCTGGCTGTGGGGACTCAGTGAAGCTCCGGGATCCCTTGCACAGTGCCAGCCCCCCCCAATCCCCCTGCGAGGACTCGTCTCCCTGGTGCCTGTTGTCCCTGTGATGGCCTCACTGATGTGTGTGTGCCAGGATGGGTGGGGAGCCAGGCAGAAAGACCACAGGAGGGAGGTCTGCCTGGAGATAAGGCCCTGCCTCTGTGTCAGTTAATAACAGCCAGTGGGAGCCGGCCCAGAAAGACACAGGAAGTGTGGGTGAGGGGTGACAGGGTGGGGAGGCGGGGACCAGGGCAGCGAGTGCTGGAGGAGAAGGCATGCAGTTCAGCATGGAAAGAAGGGAGTCGCTGTGCCCGTCTCGGGGCAGGGGACGTGCCTTCCAGGACACTCAGCTGCAAGTGCAAAGGCCCTGGGGTGGCCGGGTGCCTGCATGATCAGAGAACCATGGGAGCCACTGTGCTGGAGGGAGGAGAACTAGGGGGAAAATGTTAGGAAACAGGTTAGAGATTCGAATTGGGCAGGGGGCGGGGGCAGGCACACAGAGGGCCTTACCATCCACTGCGGCCACTCAGGGAGATGACGTTTGGAGGGAGACCGGAGTGGGGAGAAGCAGAAGCAGGAAGCCAGTTGGGACGCAGTGCGGTGGTCCAGGGTGGATGCTGGCCTGGAGATGCTGAGAGATGCTGGGGGGGGGGTGCCTTCAGGGAGAGCAGGGGCAGGCTG